CCACGATTTAGCTAACCCGTGATTAGAAATGCCATTAATGATGCCTTGAGAGTTCAGTTGATTCGTTCTATCAGCCAGTAGCCTTCTGGATGGACGGTTGTTCGCGTTTTGCACATTCTGAACAATTGACATAACTAGTTAAATGGTATACATTCAAATTCGGTACCTCTATATGAAGGTAACTGAACTGAGGCACACCAACGGGTGACCTAGATTTCAAATTCCACCTTAGTTTAAGGACACATACTCTACAGTGGAATGGCCTCACACCACTTTGTAAGTGATCAGCAATTACTTAAATATATATATTTCGCCCTTTGGCTTCCCAAAATGGCTCAATAATGTCAATCCTCTCTATCTTGTCCGAATAATCTGATTTCATATTTATTAGGGGGTCTTCATATGGTCTGTTGGGCTCCCAATCATTCAACAAGTCTTGCAAGCTCTGGAGTAGTTCCATGTGTCTTCTTGTTTCTCTCAGCACCATCATCTACGTTCCACTACCCTTATCATTTTATTTTGGACTCAATTCCACAAGTTTTCGTGAATTTCGTTCAATACAACACCGATCGTAGACTGTGGAACAACTGGTAGTCTCCAATAGTATCGTCTATAGCACAAATATAGTACACCATCTTGTATTATAAGGAATTTCCACATGGACCATGGATATCTACCTTTCCAACTCACATATTGAGTCTCGTCTGAAGATGAACGAGAATTTTGGATTTTCAAAGTGTTTCCTAACCTATTTCCTGGATATGACCGCGTTCAATAACTCCCATAGTTTTCAGCGCTATAATATTCTTTTTTGCTGCAGTGCACGAAAGACAGTTTCCATAGGGTTTGACTGCTCTGCGTTATAAGTCGTCCGCGTTTTGATGTTGTTTATCAGGCCGATGGATGTATTCATAGTCAGTTTCTTGTATGCTCTCTTACCATCGAGCAATTTTCCCTTTCCAGATCTCAAAAATTATGTAATCATAATAATGCTTTATGACCGGCTCCAATAACAAAATTGCGTCTCAATAAGTAATGCCGGAAGTACCGCACAAAGTAAACGACTGCTAGCACATCTTTGCGTGCCATACAATAATTTTTCGCTGGCTATGTAGCATCCGGCTTACATACGCAATAATCTTTCCTTTGCCGTCCCGACAGTGATAGCTTCTTTGACTCTTCTCTAGAGGGGAAGTTGCCTAGCAGGCAAGTATGTTGGTGACAGGCAAAACGATTGACCTGGACGACATTTTTCAAGTGGTTGAGTTTTTGTTTCAGCAGACTGTTTATATTTTAGTGCCGATATTGTTTTACATGAATTTTGTTCAATAGTACCAAAGTCTTTCTCTTTGGTACTAAATTCAGACTCTAAGTTTAGATTCGTTGCTTTCGTTTTAGGCATAGTAAGATTCTTGGGCTGTTTTACGGGCTTGAAAAAATAATTAGTAACTCGGGTAGTTGACTGGAATTGCCATTATAAGAACCCTCCCCCCCAAGGAGATACAGGTAAATTCTTAGCCCATTTAGCTTCTAACTAGACGCAACTGCTCAATAGAATGTGTTGATCCAACAAATTATTCAATAAATAATCCCAAATTAAAGGTTGTTTGTATTTTATCATGTTACTCATGTTGCATAACGCTTTACCGCTACATATTATACTGGATGTATTCACATGCGGTAATGCTAATAAGTAGCTGAGCTCATTATAAAGCGTGGTTAGCGAAACGATGGCATCCTATGTGCTTTAAGACGGACATTCACCAAGTTAAATACTTCCATGTTCATCACAGTTGCCGATAAATACTTCGAAGTGAATTGTGATGCATTTCGGTCATCAGGGTACAGATACATACACGACGAATAACACTGAGCTACCTGCTGTCCAGACACACAATCACTTAGAAGCCATCGTTAGCCAAGACTTAAAGACTAGTGCACAGCTCCGTGAAATAGCCGCGAAGGATTTAAGAACCTTATGGTCAATACGTAGGGCTTTTAGTCATGTCGATGCTAAAACTTTTTTGACTTTGTACAACGTGTTCGTGCGTCCCAAACTTCAGTACTGCATACAAACTGCTAGCCCCTGCTTAAAAAAAGACAGTTAACTTTTGGAAAAAGTTCAGAGAACAGCAACTAAACAGATTCCCGGAATAGCGAAGCTCCCGTATGATGCTCGACTGGCCAAGCTAAATTTATTCCCTTTGTCATGTCGAAGAACTAGAGGCGACTTGATTACAGTTTTCATATTGCTTAGTGATAATTTTTCACCTGATATGTCCTCATTTTTCCTGTCTTCTTAAATGGAGAATTTACGAGGACACACCAAAAATGTTCACAGGCCCAGAACAAATTGCATGTCAGCTGACTATCGACTTTTCCATCGAATCATCAACGAGTGGAATTCATTATCTCAGCACCTGGTTAAGGCTCCATCCGCCGACTCTTTCAAAGAAAATTTGGATCGATTGAGAGACCGTCATTGCCAAGACTAACACAAGACATCAAGCCTCCCGTCCTTTTCAAAATGAAACTACTCTGTCCTATGGCAGATCTAGAGGTGATCTTATTGTGATGTGTAGAATACTAAGAAATCATTTTGGACGTGACTTATCTTCTCTTTTTCTTCCCCACCAAATCGTTACATCTCAGAGAACACAGCAGGCGAGTAGAAAAGCCTAGAACGAGTAAAATACCCGTGGTATACTGGTTTTCAGACTGAGTCATCAATTCTTGGAACCTGTTACCCAAAGCAGCGGTGTTTGCACCTACAATTGACTCATACAAGAGAATATTAGACTAGAAAAGGAATAGCAAAGGCCTCAGGCCTGTTTTTACTGCACAAATCTGAATCCTTGGACCATAAATTGTACAGTGGTATTGAATTTTGGTTGCCCTTGCTGTGCATTTAAGTGCCTCCGGTTGAAAATTTTCTCCGTTACTGCCGATGTACGTCTGCTAAGGCATATTTAGGTCTGAATAGTCAATGATTCCCACTACTAGTTATATCTAATTTGTAAATCCTCTCTGTGAAGTTATGGTCTGAGTTAAATTTTGTCTAAGTCCTATTATCAACTACAACTATCCGACCAAATTGGATTTTAGTGATAAACTTTGAGTCGACATATTTCCAGTAGCAAACGTGGAAAAACGGGCTAGACAGTGCTAGAGAACAAAGTTACTTATGGGATTTGGAAGTTATCTTGGCGTTTCAATCGTTCTTACGTGTTTGTACTTTAGTCAATTCTTATTCTTCCCTGTTTGGCTGTCTGCGGGTCAGTTGGTTTTAGACATCCAGATCATTGTGACTACTTGATATGCGTTAATTTAACTCCCCATTACTATTGACGTCATAATTTTCACTCACTGGCTGACGATTAAAATGAAGCACTATCATTATACCTGCGTCATGCTATGCTACGTGGAAAACCTGAATCGCCCTTGATGACCAGGGTATCTTTTATCTAATTAGCGACGAGAATTTATTACCACTCAATTACAGTAATTAGAATGTCCGTCCTTTTAATTCTGTTTTTATGTGTCCTGTGTAGAGAAGCGTGGACTTTCTTCTGTGATTCACTGACAAACTATGTATGAGAATCCGACCAATGGCATATTGTATCAGGTCTTATATCCTCTTTTTTACATGTTTCATTAGATAGGTTATTCTCCTAAAAAATTTGTAGGATGTCTTTCTGCACTAGTTTTTTGTCATGTGGGACATCATGACAGTTCATGTATTCAAAGCTAATCATTCTTTATGTTCATACCACAATCTTCATTTCCTCACTGTCAATTGCCTGTCGTGGGTCGGTAATTTGCCATATTTTCTGTTCATTTATTTGATTGGATCGTTTACTCAAGTAATGGTTTAGTTGTGTCAGCTTGACGAAAGCCACTAGCCTGATCAGTACAGTTAATATAAAAACCAATATTCCCAGTTTTTTCATCCCGTTAGGTAGGATAAATAGCACATCCTTGTCAACAGTTTTCAACCTTCGACTAAGTGTAATATGGTGATCTAATAGCATATTGTTCTTCCATCTAGCCTATATCCTTTTTGTAGGTCCCAATGCACACTGAGACAAAACACATGTTTGCAATTAATGCCGGCGTGAAATACTTGACTCATTCACCGAATTCTTGGATACAATCCACATTAAGTATAAGAGCTAATGATATTATTCGGTCGCCCAAACCGAGATAGGTGGAGTATGCTCTCAACGTGGGACTTGGTGGGCCGAAGTCGGATCCCTTCAAAACTAAGCCACTATTTAAGTGTCGTAAAAGAAGCAATTATTTGAGCAAGATCGGTAGCAACGTTAGTCACTTCTACAATCTAGGCTCCGGAGATACTAAAATGACTACATAGTTTTAGGTATTTTTTCACGTTTGGTTTGAGACTTTAGATAAATATGTGTTATACAGTGAGGTCGAATGGTGGTGATTACAAAATATAACCCGGTTGAAAACCTCAGTTTTTCTACATGAGTCAAGGGAAAACATGCGTGGTTTGAATGTCGTTTTCCAAAATAAAGATATTTATAAAAAAGACAGTTATCCGAAGGAAGAACTATGTTTCTTTAGACTACTTCTAGAATAGGAAGATATTACAGTCGGAATTTTGTTTGTTCAGAAGGATCACTAGGTATCACATCCTTTTACGATTTCTACCCGAGATACTATTGCAACGTGGGTGTTTACGTACCTGTTAGACTTACCATGATGTCAGTCCTGTGGTTTTTAATTATATCATTGCCAACTAGGTTTTTCTTTGGCTAACCAAAAAATGTAAAAGAGCTTTTGTGTTAACCTCAGTGGCGTTACATTATTTTATATATCATACCACTGTTTTTTCTCGTATTTTTATTATTCCTTATTTTTCGAGAATTCCCATTGTGAACCAAAAACAAGACCTCATTTCGAATAAAAGTGGAGCAGAATCTTTAGTGGACAAATCATAAGCCATTGGTGGTAATGGAGTAAATTTGTACTTCAAAATGATGCAAACTTTTATATCACAACGAATTTGCTTTGGTTGTTCAATTTTCTTATTCCTCCTGGGATCAATATTTTTATATGTACATATCTCGCGTTCTCAAAATATCCCGAATTTTTTGCGTAAACTCCCATATAATGTGACAGGTTTGAGAAATTTTGTAAGTATCGGTGTTTGTAAATCTACTTTCTAACTTGAAATACCTGTGATATAAACTTCATAAAGTTGTATCAATTAGGTCGGTAAGCTACCAATGTGGACTGCTTTTAATACCTGTTGTAGTAATGTTTATTAATTAATAGCATGTTTGAGACAGTTAAGTAAAATGGCTTCGTCAGTTTTTCACGTGTTTACAATTACCTTTCACATAAGGTTTACTAGACTTTGAATTGTTGTTTTGTTAGTGCTAACAAAGTACTCCAGTTCAAAATCCCAATACGTTCTAAATCCTAATAGTAGGTTTTTATACTTTCTAGGTTGTTTCACAACAACAAGAGTGCCCAAAAGAAAATCCGCACGCTAGTAAGTCTGACCCTTAATTTTCCTTATATTTTAATTTACAACGAGCTTACCAAGCTTTTGATTAGTAAGACAAGTTTGGAGTTGTTGTATTCTAATCATAGCTAGAGTTTGTTGACCTCCCTTGACTACATTGCTAGAGAGCTTGAAACTCCATATACTATGGCTGTGACAACATTAGTTCTAACGTCAGTTCATCAGCATGTCGGTGTGCTATAGTATAAATAGTAACAATATTAGTGGTAATACAAAAAGCTAGGCATAAAAGATAGGACTCAATTCTTTAACAATTGGTTATGATAATCACGTGGACCCTGACCAGGTAGTCTGCATCTACCTGTAAGACTCAGTTCACTAGTCAATTTCTTCATGAACCGATCCCACAATTCGATATCAACCCCTAGCTTTCTTCCAGCCTACCCCTACACTAATCATCATCAAAATGGTGACAGAAGGTGGTTAATAATACATAATACATGTTCCAACTGTCTCAGTTGATGAATATTTACAAGATAGTTAACCAACTTGCCATCCTTGCTTAGTACTTTGTGTCCAACCTCAACATCACTCATCCCGGTGGTCACAATATACACGAGCAATGCTTCGAAGGCATGTATGATTAAATACTGGTAACCTACGAATACCCTATGTTTCAAAGGTCACAATGCAAGCATGTTCGGCATGCGATTTTCTCCCTCGAAATGCAAAATGTTGCTTCAGGATTGGGTCGCGTCGACACCCGAACTAGTGATAGGAAGTGAAGTAGTTGAGCGTGTCGACCGCTTCACTTATCTTGGAAGTCTCATCAGCCCTTGTGGTCTGATGTGTGACGAAATCTCGGCACAGATACAGAAGGCTCGACTAGCTTTTGTCAACTTGCGTCATTTGTGGCGTAGGCGAGATATCCGTCTATCAACCAAAGGACGTGTTTACTGCGCAGCAGTTCGTTTCGTCCTACCTTATGGCAGTGAAACATGGCCAGTAAGAGTAGAGGATATTCGTAGGTTACTAGTATTTGACCATAGATGTCTTCGAAACATTGCTCGTTTATCCTGGGACCACCGAGTAAGTAATGCAGTTGTTATGAAACGGGTACTAGGTAAGGATGGCAAATCAATAGAGGAAGTAGTAAAACTTAATCAGTTGAGATGGCTGGGACATGTGCTGCGCATGCCCGACCACCGACTACCCCGACGTGCTATGTTTTATGGTGTAGGAATAGGTTGGAAGAAAGCTAGGGGCGGCCAGACCAAAACATGGCACAAATCCATGAAGTCACTGACAAGTGGACTGAGTCATGTTGGTAGGTGTAGACTACCTGGTTGGGGACCGCAAGACGATAGCAACCGATGGTTAGAGACCTTGAATGACATGGCTCAAAATCGTTTGCAATGGCGCAGGTGCATCCACTCTTTGTGTTCTCTCAAACTCTAATCTTCTGAATTCTTCATGTCCTTTATTTTCTTTCCCAATTTATTCCACTGGACTATACTCCTCTAATAACATCATCAAACCTTCATGTCCCCTATCTCTACTTATACTTTCAGTACCTCTACCACTATGAGATTTGAATCGATAACTGAATCTCTGTGCTAATGTGGTATGGCAACTCGAACTGATGTACGTACGTACGAAGTTCCACGTTGTTACTGACTGACTGAAAGATCACATCTCACAACTATTAAGTAGAATTGAACGAACTGCTGCACAGTATCTTAACCCTTTGGTAGATAATCGAACTTATTTTCTATGGATCAAGTGGCAATCACCAATGGAGCTCTCTGAATCCGTTCTGAGATTTCGTCAGATACCAACCCACCAAAACTAATGAAACTCATATGATAAGTTCAATGGTTGACGTGCCCAATTAATTCATTCCTTATCATTAGTTGAGAAGTTGAGGAAGACTAGTAATGGAGCAACATTTAGAGGGAAAGAAACAAATCTCAAATATTAGAATCAAATTATTGGTCTTCATCGATTAGTTTTATTATCTATTGATTTCCTTTCTGTCATATCTATGTATATGCTACCTTAAACCGTTGAACTTTCTTAAGTTTCTACGTTGTCTGGCTTCCGGCCACTTGGGCGAACTAGTGGCTTCGGTACCAGACGTGATATTCTTTAAGACGAAGAGAATATCCTATCAGTTTCATGTATGTTTTAACTATCGGTTTTAATCGTCTCCCTCTATATTTTCAGTACTCAGTTGAGAGTGATTTGTGTTCAGTCTATCAACTTAAGTAACTATCTGGTGTCTTGTATCGTTATGCATCACATACTCCCGATGTGATCTTTCTGTTCGATCTAATAATTTTCCGAGTTTCAACTGGAGTTGTGAGGTGTCCAAAAATCGTTTATATTTACCTACTATTTGCTGAATTTGATGGGTCTTATTGCTTATTTGAATTATCTAGTTGTTTTCTACATGAGTGTCAGTATTGTTGTTTCCTGTTATTTAACAAGGAATGAGCGTTTATTTTGTCACGTTTTTGTTTTAATTTGTCTGTTACCTCAGCTTTTTGCATGATTCACAACAATCCATCCTTTTGTTATCACTAGTTGGGCGTTTAAAAATCGAGACCAATGTACCTACTTGGGATTCCTTAATGGAGAAATATACATCATCACCCTCTCAACGTAAAATTATCCTTTCAAAAGGTGGCAACTATTCACAACCCAGTTTAAATCCTGTGGTGATCCACAATGAATCTATTCATTCCCGCAATTACACCGATTCATTGGAGAAATACGTCGGATTGTGGCGTCCAACTGTCTGTGATCCAACTGAAAAGCTGGCTGTTATTGTCCCGTACAGAAATCGTGATATTCATTTGCGTATGTTTTTAGAACATATGCATGCTTTTCTACGTAACCAACTGCTTATGTATACCATTTTCATTATAAATCAAGTTAGTTATAATTTTTAGATATGGTTTCAGTTGTCTTTTGAACCCTTTCCAAGACTTTCTACTATATTTTTCAACCGCTGTTATCACAGTAATGTACTTTTGGGTCATTTTAAGCATATGTTGCCTCAAGTTGGAACTCCACACTAAAGGTCACGGTTAGTGTGTATACTAAATATTTTAAGCGCATTTACAAAGTCCATCCAATGTTATCCATCATCTTTGGGTTCATTTCCTTGTACTTAAAGCCATTTCTGTCAGGTCTAATGATAATACCCAGTTGGAACAGGGATTACACTTGCTACACTAAGCCGTGAACCTGGAAAATTTATGCTTCTTGCTCCAAAAGTGGGTTTTGACATCCGTTGGATCATAGTTTCGGTAAATGTACAGTAAAATTAATGAGAAAAGGCAAGATGATCATTCTTAACACCCATATTTAAGGTTCCGGTAACAAAGATGTTTCCGTGTTGTGTTCGGTAAATTCTTCTCACCTTATGTTCTTTTCTTGGCTTACGGACCATTTTCTGTTCCTACAGGATTGTGGTTTTTTCGTAAAGATATTGTGTTCTATGGCTGTTAGTAGGTATAGTAATATATTACTTTTACTAACCCCAAACTGTGTAAACAGGTTAATTCTATTAATTGACGTCCGTGGCATTTACGAAACATGCACTAAAATAGTACATTGTTACTGAAAGCAGAGTTTTGAGATATACTATGTCGTTTGAATGAGTATAGAGTGCAATAAAATCAGTTTCTTACCAACAGAGTGTTGTAACAGTATTTGAATCACCAACATCTTCCTTATTTAGCGTTCAAATAATAATGGAGTTTCTTTATGTATGGTTCACCTCACTCCCAATAGACGTTTTTGGGTATTATAGCGAAGTAGAAATAAAGACTAACATTTTTCACTCTAGGCTGTTTACATATGTGATTCTAAGATGACGGAGATTATCAGAACTATGTGATGTATTAGCGCAACACATTTCGAACAATCTGATCACACATATATTTGTTAAGAGCATTTATATATAAAAATAAAAGGTCAACTAGACTGGAAATGGGTAAGAGGAGATAATAATAATAATAATAATAATAATAATAATAATAATAATAGTAATAATAATAATAATCTGAACACAATTCAAAACCTAATCACTCTGGATAATAAGTCAATATTACCAGGGTAGGTTTAAGGTAAGAACAAACTGTTTTTGAATACACAAAGGGGGTTTGAATTTTCGTATGGCTAAGGCTTCAATAAACCTTAGTATACGCCCTTTTACACTTTTATACAATACCAAAAAAGCTGAGTTTAGATCAATCTTATGGCCTGTTTCAATTATATGTTTAGCAATAGAGGATGATGGATGTTTATCCTCTGCTCTTATTGAGTCTCTTGATTGTGTTTGTTTCTGTAGCCATTTGAGTACATGTTCACTCACCCTAATGTTAAGATCACGACTGCTCCTCCCTATGTATGTTTGACCACACACACATTTAAATTAGTAAACACAGTGGGATGTGACACAGTCGTTTTCATGTCTTTTGGATGAAACATTCACCTTGTTCTTTCTATGACAATGACCTTAGCTGCGCAAGACGTTTTGTTGGTGACTGATTTAAGTCTTTGCTTCAATAACAGGCTATTTGAATCACCTCTGAATGGTAAGGTGATGTAGACAGGCTTTTTTATACCGAGGCTACAGTAGGTCTCACTGTACCGTGGACTTTCCATCTATTTATGAATTTCAGAGGGTAACCATTTCCTATTAATGTTTTGTTTAGCGTCATTTGTACAAATACGATCAAGCCTGTTGAAAAGACACCTTATCAAACCACGTTTGTATTGCACAGGGCTGATCGTTCTTCTCCTCTTCATATGAGAGACTGATATGGTTTTGGAGAGTGTTGAATTTATTTAATAAACAGTACATATCCGTTTTTCTTTCACAAAGAACTAGGATATCGTCCACATATCTCTTATAAAGTGACATGTTTTCAATTAGGTCATCAACCTGATTTTCAACATGTGCCATGAACACGTCTGCTAATAATGTTCCTAGCGGACTACCCATTGCAACCCCATCAATCTGACGAAAGTATTCACCTTCAAAAGTGAACTGCACTTTTTCAGTACATAATAATAGTAAATCTTTAGGAATTTTAACAGGGACACGTGATTGAAGATTGTTTACAGATATGTAATCACATAATATATCAATATTTTTTTTAAAAGGTACATTTGTAAACAAGGAATTCACATCAAATGAACACATTGTTTTTCCCTTGATATTAATATCACATAAATGATCGACCAGTTCAAAAGAATCCTTTAGAGAATACTTACATAGATGTCTTCGGATAGGGTCCAATAACTTTGTTAACCATTTAGCCAGGTTATGTGTAGGTGATCTGCACACTGATGGAAATGAACGTAAAGGAATGTTTGGTTGATGAATTTTAGGTAGTCCATATAAATGAAGGTACTCGGAACCCATAGGTTTTAGAAAATTAAATTCCTCTTTATTAATAATATTCATGTGTAGCAATTTTTCTAGGTTTGGATTTACTCTTCCCTGTAGTTTGCCAATACCTCCAAATTCAACATCAGTCATAAATTTACTTTCATCACTGAGGATAGATAACATCTTACTTTTATATTCACATTTATTCATGATAACTACGCCTGATCCTTCATCAGGTTTTAACAAGACAATATCAGGGTTTGTTCGTAGTTCTTTTAATGATTTAAAATGCTGAGAAGTTAATATGCTTCTCTGCTTTGGTCCAACATTATGGAATTGGTGTTCTATGTATACCAGTTTAGCTTTACACCAGCTTTGACGTAGGGGTTAGAGTACTCAATTGATCGTATAGATTTTCAAATTGGGCATTTATTTGCAATTCAGACATTTGCGTTATGGGGACCGAAAAATTAAAACCAAGAGAAAGTACTTCCTTTTCATTAGCAGACAATACAATGGAAGATAAATTAGTGACATACTTAACAGGATTAACTGAGAATAAATTAACATGATTAGTAATAATTCAAGATTTTTAGAGCTTTTTACCGAAACAAATACAATCAAGTGACCCAATAAGAGCAGAGGATAAACATCCATCATCCTCTATTGCTAAACATATAATTGAAACAGGCCATAAGATTGATCTAAACTCAGCTTTTTTGGTATTGTATAAAAGTGTAAAAGGGCGTATACTAAGGTTTATTGAAGCCTTAGCCATACGAAAATTCAAACCCCCTTTGTGTATTCAAAAACAGTTTGTTCTTACCTTAAACCTACCCTGGTAATATTGACTTATTATCCAGAGTGATTAGGTTTTGAATTGTGTTCAGATTATTATTATTATTACTATTATTATTATTATTATTATTATTATTATTATTATTATTATTATTATCTCCTCTTACCCATTTCCAGTCTAGTTGACCTTTTATTTTTATATATAAATGCTCTTAACAAATATATGTGTGATCAGATTGTTCGAAATGTGTTGCGCTAATACATCACATAGTTCTGATAATCTCTTTCTTCTTATTACATTATCGAAATTTATCAAAGGCACTAATGGCTTCTAATATGTGATTCTGTTGTGGAAATTAATCATGAAATAACCAAGGTTTTAGTATTGCTAAAGTCTTCATTTTCTACTTATGAATGCATGTTTAGGACGGTGAAACTCATTTCAATCGCGCCCTCCTTCTGAATGTTGGGTTTATCGAGTCGAAGCGGGTTACGAACTTTGACTGCTTCATATTTCATGATGTGGATTTATTGCCTGAAGACGATCGAAATTCATATCGTTGTGCCAACCAACCGAGACACCTATCTGTTGCTGTGGACAAGTTTAACTACCGGTTAGTGCTTATATTTAAACTCCTAGACTTAAAAATTTTGAATTTTTCCGCTCGGTAACATCTCTCTGCAATAAACAAGAAAGTTGATTCAATACTTTAGTCGCGGAAGTCATAACGTATGAATTAGGACTGTTTATATTTCTAACCAACTTCCAAATAAACTTGATATTTATATAACTTTTGCACTGTTAGAATTTGCTCAAGGGATTATCAGCTTTCTACCTAGTTACGGTGAATTGTTGGGACCCATATATTTAAGACCCTAACTAGAATGCAGTTCACCAACCATCTATATTTCAGCTGTGAGCTACATATTGTATTACCGAAGTCAGTAGGTAAATGCATTCGTGGACGGCCCGAAATAGATTCCCATACTTCAACTCAGATTCACACTTGTAAGTTCTGTCGACCATTATTTTAGCCTAAATAATAATCTATCAATAAGTACCATCCAGCATGTTTAAAAATGATAGTATGAACAAGCATAAAAGTAGTGATTTCTTAAAAACGAAGTGCAAATTAATTTAATAAGCTGAAACACGTATATTTCGGAAACAAACATAAGTACCAGACAGTCTACCGCTGGACTTAAATTCCGTACATATATTTATCGATGCACCACATTACCTTGTCAATGCGGTATCAATTTTAGTAACTGTATAAACTACTCTATTACTTCGACGTAACTGCATTATGGTAGACAACTGTCATTATAAAGAACTGAATCAAAGTTGTAGAGTCTTTTCATATTTTGTAACTAAATCCTGAAACTTGTAATTTCCAAGAGTTAGGGAAATTGTGACCCATTTTAATACTGTCATAGTTTGGGGGGTAAGTGCAATATATCTAGTTATTGACTAGACGGATGCCTTTTGATGACAAGAATCAAACATGTCTATGCGTGGTGTGTTTGTTTTCTTCTCAATAAAGCTCTCCAAAAATTTTGATAAATAACTTTATTCACATGAATTTATTATTTTTTAGTCTTCCTTATCTTAAGATTTTTGGCGGGGCTGTGGCATTCACCAAGAAACAGTTTGAAAATGTTGGTGGATTTTCAAATATGTATTTTGGATGGGGTGGAGAAGATGACGATTTATACGCTAGAGTAGTTTATCACAATTACAGCATTACGCGTTACCCTGAAGAAATCGCTCGTTACAGAATGATTAGTCATAAGAAAGACCCAAATAATCCGGACAATCCTGAACGGTATGTCTTTCCCAATCCTGAGACTTAAAAATTTGTTTTTGTAGTATACACTTGGTCATTTTTGTTTTCATCTAAGATATTTAAAATAATCTATTAAGTATCGCACAGTATTAATAGTAATATTAGTTCCAAATGAGTATTCAGAGGTAACTAAATCTATCATCCAATACCTACCATATTCTTGTATAAACCAGTATATTTTATTTCTTTGTGTGCTTTATTTATTTATTTTAACTCAGGTATAGGTACAAGGAGGCACCAAGAACATATGCGCCACACGAATCTCAATTGATTTGTGTGAGGGCTGTGATACTGCCCGGGTGCACAAACCGAAGCAGGTGGTTTTCTTAAGGGGCCACACCCCGAGCCTTCGACCTGAACGTCTGATCCACAAGGCAGTGGAGCATCGTAAGGAGATGCAGTCCCATGGAAGCCGGTGACCAACGATTGGTTCATACGCCATTTGTTCCTTCAGGATACTAAAGCCCATGTGCACCATTGGTTTGGGATCCGGTTAAAGCGCCGGACATTCGCTTTTCGTCCTCTCATTTTCGTAAACAACACCCCCGCCACGTGAAGGCAGTGAGTAGGACTTCCCTGGCAGAGGCTATATACGCGTGGCCATGTGAGCGCATTTTGAGAGGAAGAGCGGACTCTCCCCACTCTCGGCCGTACCAGGGCATTTGGGGGCCTTTGTGTGCTTGTTTCCATACATAAATGTCAGTGTTTGTAAATCAACCAACTAAGTGTTTCAAACTATTGATAGATTATAGCTGACAACGACCGACTATATTTGGTAACTGCCCCCCAGCTATGTGACCTGTTAAGTGGTTCCATAAGTCATTCGAAAATACCATGTTTCTTCCCAATATCAGGTCCATTTGTCAGTTAAATTAATAACTGAATCACTATTATTACAGAACTCTGTATATTGGCAACACCCTGATTATTCGTCCCAGAAAATTATAAACTACATATAATATACTTCGTATTTTAAATGCTAACGTTTGGTGCTAACTAAATAGTACGTTGGTTAGTGTTTCTGCGATGAAATTTTGATAAAAGTAGTTAAATATGTGGCCAACTTGAATGACAAATGTTTTTCGATGCACTAACCTCTGTATAATTAGTGATTACAACCCATCGTTTTTGTATTTCCCGCAGTGGATCTTGTGGATTCTCATTGGTTATTCACCGATTTGTTTGATTGTAGCTAGTGATCGTTTATTCTGGTTTATTACGTAGAGCATTTTAAATAGAATGAAATTGGTAACTTGTAAAGAGTCTTATTTTGGTAACCGGTTCATGCTATTGATTATATCATTGTGGAGTAACGGTAAACTTTACCGTTTTAAAATGTACGGAAAAATTGAAACAAACCTAATATTCATAAGCTGGGCTATTCACTGTGTAATATTGTAGGTGTTCAACATAGAATATTCGTTGTGAATTTCAAAATTACATTTTTACCTCTCTCATTCTATTCGTGTGAAAATACCCTTTTTTTTGATGAGATACTCAAATTTCAAGGGTCTTATTTGAATATCTGAATCCTTATGTTGATGCAGAAAAATAATGTCGTGAAATGTCCAACGTTTTTGTGCAAATAAGTAGTTTTCATTTATGTGTTTTACACTTGGTGATATTCTTTGGTTTTACGGTTTTTGTTATTATTGTTGACTTACTGATAAGTTGGGTAGGTATAATTACATATGCTTTCAAATTTGTAAACCTGCTTGTAATCTCAGGCGTCACTGGATTTATCAACTAGTGGAATGAAATGGATGACTTCTGTGCATGTTACATTTGATCGAATTAAAGAACAAGTATGTCAACGGAACTTTTTTGAAACTCAGTCGCTGCATATAATAGAATCACCACACAAGGCTCCGGTGGACGGATTCTATAAAAACAGTATGTTTTCTAGCAAAATGAAATGTAATCAAATATAAAAATTCGTCATGAAAACTGTACTTCCATTCTTCATTTAGAGATCACCTTTCATGTTTATACTGTGGCTAAGGGGGCTAGCCTAGCGATTAATGATATGCAGTTGTTTTAGTTACTAACTACAATTCCCAACGACACGTTTTCGATTAACAAAAAACATTGTGAACAGAAAAGTGAACTTTTTATCTCTTCACGTTATCTCACTTATTCTACTGCTACGTTTTTAAAGGTAATAACCATACCTGAAATACTGCCAAAAAGATTTGATGTAAGCAGATAATAAGTTCGTTGTACTGTACCTGTATATGCTGAATATATGCTTATTTCCGTTACCTATAAAGTACTGCACCTTTGCCTAAGTCTAGAAATGTATATTTCTTCCTATCACTCCTTTGGATTACGAGATAAATTACTAAATAGGTAGTAAGTTTACAAAATGAAAGCAGGTTTTTGTAAAGTAAATCTTTCCCTCTTAGGCATCTAATGTTCATTGTCTGATTTATTACTTCTTTAACTGCGGAGTGCCTTGTCTTATTATTTAGGATTTTAATATCATTGCATTGCATCAATATTTATTTTATGAAGGTCTATTAGAATGTGATTGTGAACAGTTTCAACTAATCGTGTAAAATCTAAGTCAGTAAATCAACATTGATAATATACAAACAAGCCACACATACAATTTTTATCAGGAAATAATCTGAAAAATCTGTTTTCGATTCATGAACAGTGTTTATTGTAATCATTAAGATACGTTTCACATACTGTTTCATAAACGTTTATAAAATCGAATCGGATGACTGACGTTATGAATTGTATGCACTTATCTATTGGTCCTGCAAAGTAGATTTGTTGTATATAGCTTAAACTTTGACAAATACGTATCCATTTTAATAATTACGTACCATCGTCGCATCACAACTACCGCATATTAGTCACATTATCCACCTAATGAAACTTTAATAAATAATACATTCTTTAAAAACATGTACTTAAACCACCAATTTTTGACTTATTCTGAGTACTTTTCTAGGAATATCGTGATCTTTGTAACTGCAGTCATAGGGTACTTTCCCTATTGTTTTTTATGTGTTTTTTCACACAGTAACGCACTTCTAAAGGATGCATCAAGTCGCTTTAAAACAGATGGTTACTGGAATGCGAATTATACGCTACTGGAGTCCTACCCTGCTTACAATGGCCTGTTTTACTGGGTGTCGATCACTCCATAAATGGGTGAAAAGATTCAGCACATTCCGATTATTTGTGCTGTAAGTTAAATTCTTTTAGATCTTATATACAATCTTATACTAAACTCATAGTCGGCATAATTTTAACTCAAAAAAATGCTTAACACATTTGATAAGGTAACCAAAATCTTAAACCTATATTTTCATTTTGAATGGTTTTTAGTATGCATTAAAAGTGTATAGGTGTGTAAGGATTTAAGTTTTTTCGTTGTTGATATTACGTTCTGAATTTGATTAATTTTTTTCACATATATGTGTGCGGACCACTAAGTTGTTCTGTCCGTTTGGTTAGTTTTTCCGAAATCTGAGTTTCTAATTTTAAAGTTTAATGTTGTCCTCAGTTAACTGTATCTTGATTGAAAAGACACTTTTCGTATGTATGTAGAAAGAGTTGTTTGTCTTTGATGTTTTTGACTAAGAATTTTGTAATTCGAACTATAGATGTTGGGTATAGTATGTTTCGGTTTGGTTCTGAACTTTTCACGTTGCCACTGTAACTTAACCAATAAATTCATAGTCTTACTTATTTTCTAGAATTTCGCGTATTCTGTAGAAAGATGTTGAACAGTTCATTCAAAGTTCTTTTTCATCTGATATCTAAGCATTGACTAAACTCTTTCTTCGGGTTAAATAAATGATTTTGTTTTTGTTTCTTAAACTACTCGTACACTTAACTAGAGCTTCGTACTTTTTCTCAATATTTTCCGTCATTTAGGTCACAGAATACTCCGTATACGAAGATCACATCGTCCACCGAATTCCCCATAATTTCTCTACTCAATGACTTTTCCTATTGCCACTTTCATTTTGTCCAGTTTCCATAATGTTTACCAACTATTTTTTTCTGTTATGTTTATTTTACATTTTTTATATTACACAAAATGCTGTTCCGTTTTTCTCAACGCCTAATTTCTGGATTCATAATTTTTTGAAATAAATTCGACAATCTGTAAATGCTGACTAGTTAAAAAAAGTATGGTGTGATTGTTTACGTTTATATTTTACTGTTAGTTCCATTGATAAAAAGGTAGTTACTGTTCAATTTTAAAGATCTTCATTGCATGCCATAGCAACAGGAGCATTTCGAAAAGATCTGCTTCCATGATCACCAGATAAAACTAAATACTCCATGATTTTGTTTCTGTTACTTGTGTAGTTTTAGGATTTTTCTTTGATAGATTCACATTATCAGCATAAGCAGCCAAAACTTGTAGTTGAAAATTTGATCGGAAACATTGAAAAACCAATTGGTCAAATGTAAGTCAATTTATAGTAATATCGCCTAGCATAAACTTGTTAGTGTTCAGTATTTCCGATGTTTAAAAATATCAACGTTGGATTATGGAAGAAATTTGAACAAGATTGATGGTGTTTAATATTAGTTCGACGTTTAAAATACGTTATCTTGCAGTTAGGATGTGAATTTACTCAAAACTTTTGCTTTTTCTACACAGATTCAAATTACAGAATCTTACAAATGTTCACTCAGCTCCATAAGTTATTATTCATGATCAAAACTTCAGAAAATTAACTCAAATCCAATACTATCTAATATACTTAACATAAAATATAACAATGTTTATCAGGCTTTCTTCAGTGTGAATAGCGTATTTTTATTACAGGTAAATGGGTTAACTGATCATAGCAATTACTAACACATCCACCAGGTTTCCCGTTGTGGTCTAGCTTTAATCGACTCATGAATTCAATTAACAAATACATTACTTCATCAAATGAGTTGTATTAAACTGTTTTTTTTAGAATGAATATTTGCTCTAAATGGTAAATGTCGTTTGTGTTTATTTTTTAGTAACATTTAAAGAACATTAATTTTCGTGTTTTCACTATTTTATTTTTTCTAAAATATCTTAGTTTAAACTTTCTATGTGCTTACATTTTATACTGATTAATGTTTGACTGAGTTATCAGAAATAAAACAGTAAAAAACTATGTGTAATATCAAAAAAAGATAGTAGTTGATTGTTAGTCAAGCTGAAAAACTGCAGAAAACTAATATATTTCTGTCGAACTTGTATGAATAACAAAGTTTTGAAAAATCAGCTACGGAGCCAAGTTGGAATATAAGCTAACATACTTTGCAGTATTTGTGACATTAAATCAAAAGATAGATCAAACTGCTCAAACAGTGCCATTTTTTAGATTATTTTCACGTTTTACTTGTCATTATGTGGTGTGTGCTTTTTATATATGTCGATATAAACAGTATGTAACACGAACCAGAAGTGGGATGTTTGGCAGCAGAAAGTTAAGAAGATCGAATTGAAGAGAATAGCAATGTAAACAGGGAGGAATTGTAATAACAGGAATGAAGAAACAATAAAGTTTGTAAGAGACGATTGATGGAATATGTGACAATAAAGTATTTGATGTATGGTTTTCGTATTTTATGAAAGCACTGTAATTTCGCATTAACCCGTATATACTCGGCTATCCTATCTGACTGTTCGTTCACTATGATTATAGTATATTTGTAAATGATATTCAAGTACACTAGTAAAGTTATTTCTGAGCTACTAGTGAGGCCATTTTGATATGATAGAGATTTATAGACCTCAAGGGTGATTCTGGAGGTGTTAGTTTCTTTGAGCAGAATAATTAGTCATCAAAAACTTCAAAGAGAATTAAGCAACTAGGATTCCTTAACAAATAATATTTTTTAGTGAGAAGATCTTATGCATATAAAAAGATTTCAATGATGTAATAAATCTCATTGCTGAATAGACATAATGTAAACACCATGGGAATAAAGGGTTTCACGCTATTTCACGTTCATTGTTCTTGCTCTAATAAGGTTAACTAATGAATATCCAGAAAAATAAACTACTTCCGTGATTTCCTTACAAACAAACATCAAAGACTAATTAGCAAAATCTAAAATATAGATGAAATGACTTAGTAGATATCCTTCAGAAATTACATCATGTGAATCTACAAAAACCAATTTATACATGCGAATAATAGTCTACATACTAAGTCTCAAAATGTTCAAACGTAAGAAAGTGTTGAAATATTTACTCTTAAAATTAAAAGCCTAATTTCAGACTGGAATTCTACAAACAACACTTCACAATAAATAACCTGAAAAATAGTAAGAGAATATATGCACTGTTTATAATCTTAGTCAAACTGTTGAATTCTGTATTAATAAATAAGGCTCCAAATAACACACTGGAATATTGTTCCATACACACTGTTTCGTCAAGGATCAGTAAAATGTCCTTTTGTATAGCTTTCAACTGGTAACGGAAATTTTCGATCCACACACATCGATAAGTAGTTGCTGGAATTTCGACTTAAAACTAGGATGTGGAAGATGGAACTCGAAATATTCACTGTAATCTGTCTTAGATGTCTGGAATCCCATTTATCGTCAGTAACTTGACTGTCATTCACATAAAACTAATTCACAAGTACTAGTGCTCAATTGACAGGAAAGTTCAAATAACATCTGTTTGTTGTGCACTGGTGAATATTGGCGTAGCTAACAATCTGGTCTTGCACTTCACGATGTCCAATGTAATAATGAAAACGGCTGTATTTTTTCTAACAGCATAAATAATGTAGATCCACAAATCGAAAATAATGTCCAGTTGGATGAGCATTTTGATTTGCTATCAAATTGTATCACCTACTCAATCACCTAATTTCAAATAAGAAACCAATGCGAAAGGAAATTGTAACAACTAGTCACTCACCTGAATAATCATTATCAGTATTCTTTTACTGTGTAAAATCTAAGTAGTTGCAATCTGATCAGTTTTAAGAGATGATACCTCTAGGAATGTACATTTTCTTAATACAAATTAAACTTTTTAATTCGTTTTGTCTCTTTAATCAATTCTCTCGAACAGCGTTGCATGAATGTTTCAAGTGATGTTGTACCATAACATTGTGATATTTCTAGTTAAATAATTCATTCTTCTCTAGTTCCAAAATTGATTTGTAGTTTTAATAGGTTATATTCTTAAAAAAAGTCAATAATCAACCTATTATTAGTAAAACTGACCTTAACATGAATCGTCCAAAACAATTTTTTTACACAATGTGTTGTAACAACATTTAGTGTTATTTAGAAAAATTTATTGACTTTAGATAATTAGATGAATGGTAGGTCACAAATAGTTGAATGAATGTAATGAGTAGGTTGACAATGTTTTTTTAATGATTAGAATGTACGTATATATATTGATATTGAATTCAACATTTTAATAGTGCAATGAGAAGATGAAGGTTATCAGAATTATGTGATATTTGCACAATAAATTTCGAACAATCTGATCACACGTATACTTGTTAAGAACATTTATATATCAAAATAACAGGTCAACTAGACAGGTTAAAGGTAAGCCGTTGAAATTTTATTTTTCAGATAAGAATGTCTTAACAAATATATGTTTGATCAGATTGTTCGAAATTTATTGCGCAAATATATCACATAATTCTGATAACCTTCGTCTTCTCATTGCATCATCGAAATTAATCATAGCGACTAATTGTCATAAATTCAATATGTTTGTATGCACCCATTGGTAAATTATTTATATTTGAGCTTCCATTATTTATATTATATTAATATCTTGTATGTAGTAGTGTAGTGAACAGAACACGGGTGGGGAACAATACAATGTGTTTGACAAATTACAGTACTTCCCTCCGGGGGTACTGCTGGTGATCCCAAGCCCGGATAAAGGAGGAGGATTGGGCATGGGGTTAGCGACCCCATCCCGTAGAAAACTAACTCGCTAAAAAAACGCTAACCAGAAAGAATTATTCAAACCATTTAAACTCTGCCCTGGGAGTCAGAAGGTCTTCGTTTAGAAGAGTTATGACGCCTCATGATGAAAGTCGAGTTCCTTCGGAAGTCACGACGCCTATGTTCCTCCTGACAACCAGAGCAACCATTTATTTAGGTACATGGGATGCTCGTACAATGTGGGAGACTGGGAGAGTCTTCCAAATTGCTACAGAAATGAGGAGATACAACATAAAGGTGCTTGGGATCAGTGAAACATATTGGAAACAAGTTGGACAACAACGACTAGCTTAAGGGGAGCTGCTGTTATACTCCGGACATGAACAAGAAAATGCTCCACATACACAAGGAGTTGCATTGATGCTGTCCAAACAAGCACAAAATGCACTTATAGGATGGGGATCTCATGGACCAAGGATCATCAAAGCCTCCTTCAAAACCAAGAAAACGGGGATTACAATGAACGTCATCCAATGCTACGCGCCTACCAACGGCTACAATGAAGACGCTAAAGATCAATTCTACGATAGGCTGCAGTCAATAGTCGAGAAGTGCCCAACAAAGGACCTGACCATTCTTATGGGAGACCTAAATGCCAAGGTTGAAACGGACAACACCGGATATAAAGAGATAACGGGACGACACGGACTGGAAGAAAGGAACTAAAATGGTGAGAGATTTGCAAATCTATGTGCCTTCAATAAACTGGTCATAGACGGCACTATATTCCCACATAAACGCATTCACAAAACCATATGGACTTCACCGGATCACACTACCCAGAACCAAATCGGCTATATCTGCGTCAACAGAATGTTCAGGAGGACAATGGAGGATGTGGAAAGCAAGAGAGGAGTTGATATAGCCTCAGACCATCACTTGCTGGTCACCAAGATGAAATTGAAACTCAAGAAGCCCTGAACAACGGGGCGGACAATATCACAAAAGCTTAATACGGCCTTTCTTCAAAATAGTCACAAACTCAACGAATTCA